CTACAAAAAAAAAAAAAAGGAAATCTGGTAAATCCCTGTCTCTGTTTCCAGTCTTAAAAGTTGTGTCAAGCTTATTAAAAAAAACACAAAATGTTAATACTCTGGTAGTGTCCCAGCTTGGTGGAGCAGTTCAGTGATTCGAGTGCCCTTCTGTGCAAGAAAACACAACCTTAGAGTGTGATACAGAAGGTCAAAACCACCCCATTATGAACCCTCTGCTTCCCCCCCCCCTCCAGCTCCAGCCCCAGGACCAGAGAAGAAGGAAAAAGCAGAAGGAAAAAGCCAAAGAGTCCCCGCGCGGAGGAAAGAACCAAAGAACCCCCCGAAACCCACCCCAAATGAAACCAAAATAAAATAAAAGAACGACCAGAAGAAAATAAAATAAAAAAAAAAGGATAAAACACCCCCATCAAGAGGCTGGAAAACCCTCTCCGAGGCGGTGGGGACCTGTGGGATCTGCTGAGCAAAGGCACCACAGCTGAGGAGCGGCTTCCCCAAAATCCTGGCTCCAAACCCAGAGCTTCCCAAGAAGCTCGTGGCCGAGCAGCATCCACCCAGGAGATGTGTGAGTCCTTCCTCACCCCCCCTTCCCACCAGGATCTCCCCTGGGATAACTCCAGCTCCAACCTGTCAAGACCCCCGTGATGAGGTTGACCCAACTCTTGGGGATGGAGCAGCAGCAGAGGATCAACACTCTGATGAGAACCTGACATTGGAGAGCTTCCAAGGAAGGGTTATTCATTTTGGTTTCCATCATTTTGGTTTCCTCCAACCCAACCTTCAGGCTGCTGATGGGGCTTTTCCAGGTGGGTTTTTAAAGCCCTGCTCTTTCCAGTAATATAAAATACCAGCAGGACGTGCCAGGAGCAAGGGGACCCTGCCATGGCTCACCAGAAGGCATCTCCCCTGGATGGGGAGCACCAGGAGAAGCTCCAGATGCTCAGAGCCACCAATGGCAACAGCACCTCGAGCCCCCCAGGTCCTACAGGCTCCCAACGGCTCCAACGACCTGCAGGAGCAGATAAAGGTGATGTTCTTGTCTCATACTGGTGGTGTCACCCACCCACCACGCACCAGGACACTGCTTTTGAGGAGAGGCTGAACCTCTGGAGATACAACTTCCACTTAGATGGTATCTGGCTGGCTCAGGGGGTCACTGGTGTAACGTCTCATTTTGGTGCCTCTGACAAAGGACCACCCTCAGCGTGGTTTGTAGAGTAGCCAGAACTAGACATAATTAGCCAGAATTAGCTGTGTCTGGGCTAACGAAGTCCCACCAGAGCGGAGGAGGTGGCTGGGGACAGCACCACCAGACCAAGCTGGGCTTTCAAGCTGCCAGAAACCATCGTTTTTGGAAGAAGCTTGGCCAACGTGTCATCTAAGCGGTGCTGTCACCTGCATCTCGGGGACTTTGGAGCCACCCTCGTGTCCAAACTGAAGGATCTTCCAAGTCAGCAGCCATTCCTGCCCCCTCTTCCCATTTCTATCTGCCCTCCTGTGTCACACACATGTCCTGGGACAATGCTGCTCGGCTCGTCACCCGCCAGCCTCAGGGATGGGGGAGCCACCGCCGCTTTGCTCAGCTCTGTCTTTGGTGATACAATTAAAAATAATAATATTAATTAAAAAAAAAATAATAATAAACACAATGTCAGCAAAACCACATATTAAAAAAAAAAAAAGCCATTAAGATATGCCAAAAACAAAACAAAACCAAACCAACCCAAAACGAAGAAAACAAACAAAAAAAAAAACCAACCCCAACAACAAGTACGTATCTGAGGTATTTCATCTGCTCAAAAAAAAAAATAAAAACCCCTGACTTGGGCCTGGAGGATGGGAAGGACGTCACCAGGGCAGGAGGAACGGGGCTGGGACCTGATCTCCCAAGGGAAAGGCCAGCGGGAGGTGAGGGGACAGGAGGAGGAGGCCACCTGAGCAGAGCTGGGGGGTCACCAAGAGCCACGGAGGGTCACCTGGAGGTTGGGGGGGAAAGGGAGAAGAAGGGCTCTGTTTCCCTTTCTCTGAGGGACATCTGAGAGATAAAGGTCTCGCTCAACTCAACTCCCCACTTGACCCAACTCAACTCAACCCAACTCAACTCAACTCAACTCAACCCAACCCAACCCAACCCAACTCAACTCCTCACTTGCTTTTCACTCAAAGGACAATCTGAAGGGGACGA